TCCCTAATATTCAATGTCCATATACTCAAGATGGGATAACCTTTTCTTTTTCATGGTTATTTAAAACAAAAGCAACATGTAATAAAAAGTGATTTATTCCTATGATTTCTTTGTATTCTACAATAACTTATTACTGTAAATGTGGAAAATTGTAAGATTTTACGTAATTCAGAATGAGCAATTTAAGTATGTAATTTCTGAAAATAAATTGTAGTAACTTAGATAATATACTTGTGTTTGCACCTTTAATGGTTTTATATATTTTATATATATATATATATATATATATATATATATATATATATATATATATATATATATATATATATTAAAGGTGCAAACAGAAGTCACAAACACACACACACATTTGATAGACCGGGTAGACTGTGACAACGGTAAATACTTTCATTCAGTAGTGTCCAAATTTAGGAGATAACCTGTATAAGTCTCTGCAATTTTCTTGGCAGGGTTTTTCAGAGGTGATTTGCCATTGCTTCCTTTCTAAGGTTGAGAGAATTTGACTAGACCAAAGTCACTCAGCTGACTTTATGGCCAACAAAGAAGTTATATTGTAGAATCCACTGTCTCCCAGTGGATTCTGGGAGAATCTGATGCTTTAATTACCAATCTAGCTCTCAGTTGTTATTTTTATCCTGATGCTTTAATTACCAATCTAGCTCTCAGTTGTTATTTTTATCATGTTGAAATGAATACTGTTCAGTTTTGGAAATGTTAATAAGAAAATAAAGAAATGGAGCTGCAGAAAGTATAGGGACAGCAGTATGAACATTAGCTAGAAAATATCAGCTAATAAAAGCAGAATGGATGCAGAAGTATGCTTTTGACATACATAGGATGACATTTCAAATGTCAAAAAACTGTTGATCCTTTGACTGCTCACATATATTTTCACCTTCAAAATATCTCATTGTGAGTCATCTCCATGATCTTTATACTAGTTCAAAAACATAGGGTTCTGTTTTAAGTAATACATCATAATAATGCTTTCAATAAAGGAAAGAATAGATTGTAATGCATAAATGATCATAGGAAAAAAAACTGGAAAATCTGAATAGGAGATCATGAAGAACAAAGTAAAATTTCTTAGTGTTCCCTAAGTTTTTGTTTGCATTCACAGAAATCAAAAGTTACAAGATATAGAAAAAAAGTAGGGAATAGAAAGTACCTCTGATTAAAATAGGTAATTTGCAAGTTATGAAAAATATACTCTTAGACATGGGTCTAGTCCAGTGGTTTTCAACCTGTTGGTCGGGACCCCATTTGGGGTCGAACGACCATTTCACGGGGGTTGCCAAACAATGCAGTCTGCCATTTTCCCCCCCTTTTCCTTAGCTGTGCTACTCCCTTTTATTCTATTGGCTTTTGAAAGCCAATAGAATAGACTCTCTTGAATTGTCCAGGCTGTCTCTGCCCTGCTGAGCCCGCCAAAAGTCCCATTCTGCAAACGGTGCTGCACCAGTTGAGTAGTCCTCGACTTACAACCAGTTGAGTAGTCCTCGACTTACAACAGGTTGGGGTCACGGCATTAAAAAGGTTGATAACCACTGGTCTAGTCTTTCTTTATTTTATAATTTTATTATTGAGACATATATTTAACATAACTGAAATTATCCAAGGTATTTTTTCAGGAGGCAACTGGACTTTCTTATTTTTCTTTGAAAACATTTCACTTCTCATTGAAGAAGCTTCTTCAGCTCTGACTGGATGATGGGGAATGGAAGGATTTATATACCTTGCAGACAGCTGTCGTTTGCATTCTTTTAGAGAGTAATTGAGGCCATTTGGAGGTTTACCCCTGTCCTCAGGTCACCTGAGTAGTGCAAATATGTGTGGAGCTGAAGAAGTTTCTTAGATGAAAAGAGAAAACTCTTCAAAGAAAAACAAGAAAGTCCAGTTGTCTCCTGAAAAAGCTCCTTGGGACAACTATGACCTGGATGACTGAGAATCTCCATAGATATTTAGCTATGCACTTTGGGATGAATACCCTTCGAATGGAGTATAAATGGATTTCCACAAAACATAGCAGACCACAGGAACCATTTGCGCTTCAGTTTGAGATGCAGACAATACAGACTCATCCCCAACAGCCTGTGACTGTCTTCAACAGTGAAGGGACACAAAAGAAAACATCTTGCAGCCATTGGATGAGAAGCAAAACATCTTCAAAGAAAAAGAAGGAAGTCCAGTTGCCTCCTAAAAAGTACCTTGGGACAACCATATCCTGGATGACTGAGAATCTCCATAGACATTTAAGTGAAATTATCATTCCTAGAAAGTATGAATAGTGACTATTTGCTGGAATAGAATCAGGTGCTAAAGTATTTTATGTCTTGCTGTGGAAAAAATAAATTAGAATAAACATTTTGAAATTAAATATTAAAATAGTTATTGAGAGTCAATTTGGTCTAGTAGTTAAGAAAGCAGGCTAGAAACCAGCAGATTGGGAGTTCTAATCCCACTTTAGGCATGAAAGCCAACTGGGTGACATTGAACCAGTCAGTTTCTCTCAGCCCAACTCACCTCACAGGTTGTTGTTGTAGGGAAAATAGGAGGAGGAAGGTGTGTTGGATATGTTTGCCGCCTTGAGTTATTTGTAAAAATAATAAAGGCAGGATATAAATAAATAAAATAACTGTTTAGGAATCAGGCAATGATGTCACGCTTTGGTGACAATCCAGTTTGTCAATTCTTATTGCAACCAATGGATCAATACTTAATTGATCCAAAAAAGCAAACCTTGCACATTTGAGCAAATGCCAAGAAGAAAAAACAAAATTAAAATAGTTATTAAGGAATTGTATATAACAACAGTATATATTAAGTTATTTTGAATCTTGCCTTGTAATTTAACTAACAGGTTTAAATTATAATAATAAAATACTTTTACTCAAGAGTTAAATCCTTATTTTATGTTAAATGTGTTTTCAATATATTATTAATTAGTTGGGCTAACTGAAAGATTTTGTGCTTAACATTTTGTATCATGAAAACAAGAAAGAGGGAAGAGGAACAGTGTATCAAACAAATGAGTATTGGAAAGGAAAATGAGTTTTAGTTTTTGAGAACAATTTTTGGGGCCTGAAGCAAGAGGAACGTTCTCTACTACTATTTCAATTTATAGTAATTAAATAAATAACAGGAATTGGAATGACTATAAATGCATTAGTACAAATATTTAATTATATAGCAAATGTTCTAAATATAAATTAATTGTATTTTTAATTGCCAACATTTTGATTGCTACAAAGATTATTCTGGCAAAATATTAAAAAACTGCCACAATTTTAAATATTAATAAGTGGTTATTTAAGATATGAGAATTGACCTAAATGGGTAAATTGATGGAAATGAGCATAGAAAAAAGGAATACACAATTTGATCTAAATAATTTTCCATTTTTTATTAGATATTGGATTGAATAATTTACAACACATATTTCTTTTCTTAAAACAGTAAATTGTTTTGATTTACAACCTTTCTTGTCACAGTTGTTAAGTGAATCACTGCAGTTGTTAAGTTAGCAATATGGTTGTTAAATGAATCTGTCCATTGACTTTACTTGTGAGAAGGTTGCAAAAGGTGATCTTATGACCTGGGACACTGCAGCCATCATAAATACAAGTCATTTGCCAAGTGTCTGAATTTTGATCACATGACCATAAGGCTGCTTCAGTGGTTGTAAATGTGAAAAATGGCAATAAGTCACATTTTAAGTGCTATTCTAAGTTTGAATAGTTATTAAACAAACTGTTGTAAGTTGAGGACTACCTGTATTCATAGTATACAAGCTGAAGGAACTAGGATTTTGGTGAAATATATATGTATATGTGGCAGGCTCTTGTGCATGCCCCTTGTCCTCCATTTTCTCCAGTAAATATCAAGAAATCTAAGACTGAACGGTGCATGCTATTTTCTAACTGTAGGAATGAATTACCTTGTTATTATTTGTTTATGTCACATACAGAGTTTCTCTGGTATATAGTAAATGTTATCAGTTCATATGATTTATTTTTTGTTTTTAATTGCTGTGAAACAAAGCATAATACATAATACAAAGTGGTCAAGAAGAATCTTAATTGTATGGGCACTTAAGACTATGTTGATAGTTTGTGCCCTTTCACCCAATTATGTTTATCTTCGTGATTTGACTCTGTTTAATTATTGTAGTTCATCATTTTCAAAATTCCTTGATGTTTCCATTTTCTTGTAACATGAATGAGTAAACCAAATAAGTCATCATCAATTTACATTATCCTCCAGGAAATATTAAGTAATGAAATGCATAAATAGAGAATCTGAAATATCAAAACCTGTTTTATGTAGGTAGTGTAGTGGGTATATTTTAAAACTTAATTGGTAATAATCAAACAGAAGATTCCATTTAAGAAGGCTTCTCATCTGGAAACTATGATTTTTTTTAAACCTCATTTGAAATATACATAGGAATAATGCAAATAGTACGAAGTAAGGTATTCACAATTTTGGTTAGTGATGTCAAGCCATAGCCTTTTGGAGCATTATTAAAAAATCATGAAATGGATTACGTAGTAGTACTTGCAAAACTGTGATAACTGAAAGGACAACAATATTTTTCAATATGAAAGAATAGAGCAATAGCAAAAACTAATTCAGCCTCTTGTTATCCTGACATTTGCATTAATGACAAACATTACCTCTTCAAAACTGATTGACATTTCTTACTGAAACATTTATTTTCAGTGGCACTAAAGATGCAATTTTAATTTTTTCTTAACCTAATTTAAATGCAAATATTAACTCTTCACATGAAGGCATGAATACATACTTAAGTGTCATCATGTACAGTGTGAATCATAAAAAAACAGAAACAAAACAAAAGAGGAATAACTACTACCTCCTGAGAGCTATTTTGTTCTAAGCTGGAGAGCAGCCAAAACAGTTTGCATCTTATTCTTGCTATAGTGTTTATGCTTACTTACTAATGTTCTCTGGAATTGCAGGTCAACTGATTATGGGACAACATATGAAAAGATGAACGACAAAGTAGGTCTGAAGACCATTTTGAGCTATCTTTATGTCTGCCCAACAAATAAGCGCAAGGTAAATTAAAGAATATGGTTGCTTTTAATTATGTCAAATTTAACTTGATTTGTTAGTTATTATTTATATAGCTGTGTTAATATACATTCTTCAAAAATAAAAACAAGCTGTTTAGGCTTTAAATTATATTATATTCATTCCAGCACAAGTTTCCTGATATGTTCAAGTGAGACTTCTGAACAGTATAAAAAAGGTGGTGGGGGGGAGGAAGCCAGGCTGGGAGGAGGAAATAGCAATAGTGAAATCTCCACACACTTTAATAGAGTCTATTGGTGAAGTTTTTGCTGACTGGACACTATAAAGGATGGCACTGGGATGACTATGGTGGATCTGAAAGAGGCCATGCAAGACAGAAGGGCACGGAGAATGCTGATCCATAGAGGGTCAGACATGACTGAATGGCTGCTGCTGATGATGACGATGCTGGTGAAGCTACAATAATTCCATGAATGAGATAAATTTTAGACAGAAAGTTTAATGCAAAGCTTTGTCCCATCCTAGAAGTAAAACAAGTGGAAGCCGACAGCTAGGAAAAAGCCTGAAGTCATTTTTATTCCTGCCAAATAAGAATGAACTCATTTTTGGGAGAGAGAAAAAAAGGCTCATTAAGATGTTCGAATGACATCTACAGAGAGATGTATTTAAAGTTGTTTGCCTTTTAAGTGCTTCCAATAGTGAAATGAAAAGGATTTGACAAAATCCTGCAGAGAAAATGTATCCCAAAGCCTAGAGGGTTTTAATCATACAGGCACCCCACTGAGAAACAATTTGTAAAAGGTTTTTAATGCGGAAGTACTCACAAAATTCAGGTGGTTAAATTTTGCTCATTTTCTTTACCTATGAGCAGCTTACCTTAGAAGAGAAATTTGAATTACTAAAAGAAATGCTTTTAAAGAAAGCTGAAATTATTTTTTGGGAGGAGGAGAGGGAGACAGTTTCTCTAGTATATATGTAGTTATGTTGATGCATGGATGTTATGTGAGATCAAATGAGAAATAAGGAAGCCAGTATTGCAAGCTAGTAAATAATACCATAAATATATACATATACAACCACATACAATTACTAACAATTTTGAAAAATAAGGAAATAATTATATGGATTTTAAGAGAATTAACAGCAAAAAACTGGTCAAGACTTTGAATTAAGAAAGTTAAAAACTTATTTTCCAAGCTTTCTATTTTCTCTTTGATTGTTTAACTTCTATAGTTATCTGTATTACTAATATTCAATTTTTTACTCTTACTTTTCTTTCAAATTTGCAAATCTTTCCCCCATTTTCTCTTCAATTGTAGCCAGATCCCTTTTTGCTGATACAGTCACTGATGTAATTAATCATGTGTGACATTCTTCCCTAATTCTTCAAATGTCCTTGTAAAATCTCTGCATAATCTCTTTTTCTGTTAACCCCTCTGTAAATGATCCTCCTCTCTTCTGTAATTTACATTGGGTTTTTTTGGGGGGGGGGGTTGTTAGTGGCTATTTTTCTTTCTCTAATTTAGAATCTAGAAAGAGGAAATAAAATGTAAAAGACAGAAATAATAAAAATAATAATATAATAAATAAAAATAAAAGAAATAATAAATTAAGAGATAAATGGTGATCTAGACCAGTATTTCTTATGTTTAGCAACTTTAAGAGATGTGGACTTCATCTGGAAGTTGAAGTCCACGTATCTTAAAGTTATCAAGGTTGAGAAACAGTCATCTAGACAATGAGGCATTACGTTGAACTAAGAAAGAAATAATTTTGTTTAAGATTGAAAGCAATTCCAAAGGAACATGGTAAAGATATTAGAGAAGAAGTTGTTGAATCTTTAATAAAGTTTTTACAATGGGATGAAGAATATATAGATGAAGAAATGAACAAGTGTACAGAATTGATACAAGATATGGAAATTAAGAAAAGTTTCAAGATATAAACTTGTGCACTTTGTTAGGAAGAAGAAAAGAAACTAGGTTCTGCAATAACATTTTAATATGAAATGAATTCAGAAGTAATTCTGCTATATCTATTATGACACTATAATTTTCTAAATTAGGAAATGCTCCTGGTCCAAATGGACTATCAGCCTCCTATTATATATATTTTGATGATGAATTGTTACAATCTTTTTTTAAAATGATAGATTCTATTTTGGACAGTAGTAGTTGCACAGGTACAAACATCACATTAAATCCCAAAGAATATATATACATACAATGATAGTAGGGACTGCCATCATCATTCTACCATCATAGTGGAAAGACAAGGACATGCATGGGATGTACTATTGACAGATAGTTGAAGTGGCTGACATTGGAAAATAATACCAGTGGCTGGAAAGGGTTGGAGTAAAAGACATAACTAAAGCACTCATCACCGCAGCATAATAACAAGCACTAAGCACCAGATCCATAGAAGCAGGAGTCTACCATATTAAACTTTGCAGAGAGGCTTCATAGACCATTTAATACATAATGTAAGATATAGACAGGAACAGCATATACTGAATGGTGCAGTAAACTAGTTAGCATTGGGTACAGGAGCATCTGCATGGTACATGAGCTAGACCCTCCCACAAGGGAGAATAACTGTCAGAATCCAATTATATTTCATCTTTAATTATCAAATATAGAAACTCCCAATTCTGCCTTCTCTGGATTCTGCCATAAGAGGGAGAGAAGGGGGAGAACAAAGGGCTTTATGGCCCTCACTTCCTTCAGTATACTTCTAAGGAGCTGAATGCTGAATGTGTGTTTATTGTAACCTCAAAGCGTTAGCACCAAAGAACCTTACCATAACAAAGAAGGTTATTTGCCTTTCATGTAGTTTATCTGAAGTCTCCATCCAGATGGAAGAAAGAAAAAAGGGGGTGGAATTGTGATACCTGAAACTATCACTGGAAGGGGGGTTGATTGGGTGGGACTACTGGGGAACCCCTTAAAACCTTGAATGGGAGGGCTTGGACCCCAAGTCCTGTCTAGCACGCCTGCAACCACTTCTTCTTAATAAAGGATTCCTGTTGGAATAATTATTCCAAGAGTTCTGTCTTCTTAAGATGCAAAGTGGGGTGGGTCCTTACAATAACAAGGCTAAGATTCTATGGAAGTTCTAGATCCAGACAGACAGGCAGGTACTGGCTAATCAACCAGCAGAGGTCTACAAAGATCAGAATCATTCAAGCCATCATATTCCCTGTGACACAATCAAAATCAAAGTTGGACTTTAAAGAAATAGAAAAGAGGAGTATTGATGCTTTTGAACTTTAGTGTTGGAGAAGACTCCTGAGAATACTGTGAAAACTCAAGAATACAAAAAAAGGGATCATTGAATATTTCAATCCAGTATTACCTCTTGAGGCACAAATGACCAGGCTCAAATTATCCTACTTTGAACACATTATATAAAGAGCCAGTTCTCTGGAAAAGGGTCTGAAGCTAGAAAAGGTATAGAGAATATAAGAATAACCAACAGCAAAGTGGATGGACTCAGTTACAGTGGTGATGAGTTCCATTGGGAGACTTGAAGCAATAGATTGTCATGGAGAACATCCATATATATGGTCACTAGGAATAAAAAAATGGCATATTTCTCTCTCTCCCTCCCTCCCTCCCTCCTATCTACCTACCTATCTACACACACACACACATGCAGTATCATTCTTTTATATCATATTAACGGGTTATGCTATTATATAAATTATATAAAAAGCTGTTTCCTATGAGTTTGAAATGAAAGCAAGCAATATACGCAGTGGCAAATAAAAAATAATGGTGTAGTAACTGTCCTATCAATATCAAAGAGCTGCAGCAGTGGCTGTAGTAGTGTTGATGGAAGCATATAAATGAAAAGAAAAAAATGGATCCCAGTTTAGTTGCAAGGATGCCTGTAGAATGCTTTAGTTTAGTATGTCTACCCTTCCCAGCTTGGACATGGAGCTATTCCTTCTTAGCATATATATATTTTGTAGGCAGAGGATCAATGCTTTTCAGCAGAGGTAAGACAGAGCAAATAATGCAGTGAAGGATATGGATTTGCAAATCAATGCATTCAAGAACAAGGTAGTTGTGTTTGACAAGAGAGAAGAATTGCATTTATTTGTTTTGTTGTTGTTTTCTATTCAGCCACAGGAAGACTCTGGCAGTAAGATCTAAGTAAAACTTAGAAAACCATCTTCACGACTATTATAAATTAAAACAAAAACACAAGAAAGGTAAAAACATATACAGTATGAGAGTTAGAAACAATCTGTGTAGAGATCCTAATTTTCAAACATTTTCTTTAAAAGGTGTTATTACTCTATAGAATGTCAAGCATATGGGGGCCATTCAGATTTTAGGGGACTACATATTCCACAGGGGTAGGAGAGCTGTTGAAGTTTTATATAATTAGCAAAGATCTACATGCAGCCCTTGCAACTAGTAATGCAGCCCTACAAGATAACAAAAATATAAAAAATAAAGAAGTTTGTTATCTATATTTTAATTAAATTATATATTTTATATGTGGCCAATACAATTTCTCTTCACTCAGTGTAGCCTAGGCAAGTCAAAAGGTTGGACAAACATGATCTAGATCAAGCAGATATCTGGATCTATCCTATCTGAATGTTTACTAAGATTAGAAAAATTGAGAAATGTTAAAATATGAAAATACTGATTAAAAGGTGGAAAATAGTATGCGGTCTATTGTAAGAAATGAATGTTTGTTCAAAGAAGTGAAAATGGCTATTTATAACTATTATACTACTAACCAAGAGAGTTAATAAGTGCTGGGCTGAATTAACAGAGGCATAGAATCAAGATCACGTGAAGTATTAATACCACTTTACAATGCCTTGTTAAGGCCAAACTTGGAATACTGCATCCAGTTTTGACACCACGATGTAAAAAAAATGCTGAGACTCTAGAAAGAGTACAGAGAAGAGCAACAAAGATGATTAGGGGACTGGAGGCTAAAACATATAAGGAATGGTTGCTGGAATTGGGTATGACTAGTTTAATGAAGAGAAGGATGAG